TGTAAGAAAATTAAAAAATTAAAAAATAAAGACGGTTATCACTGAGGGGCCTTCACTCAGGCAGTGAACAACCTCTGGGAGTGTTTTGGTGCTTCTTCTCCCTGCAGCTCCCCCTCCCCTGGCATCTGGATTTAGTGCACTTCACTCCATCCAGGATGGCTGGAGGGTAAGTTGAGTGCTCAGGCTTCTACGCCTCAGGCTTTTACGCCATTGGCCTCTGCAGCTCTGACCTGCAGCCTTGAACGCAGGAGGTACTGGGGGCATGAGCAGGCGTGCCTGATGGTGGACACCTGGAGCGTGGTGTGGGCATACAGAAGTGGGCACACCTGAGCCTGGAGGCTAAGGCTATAAGGGAAGCGTCACACAGACTAGGACCACAGTGGACGATGGTGACGAGAGGACCATGCGACAACCCCAGAGAGCCCAAGCAGTAAAGATTTGCCAGCCCCTGGCCTCCCCGCTCTGCCAGCCTGTGGGCCTGCCCCAAAACAGTTGACATAGAAAGAGCATTAAAGCCTGAAAAAGCCACTAAGGTCTTCACCTATCAGCCCGAATGTAACCTGCCCGGTGCTGGCTCGCACAACAGTGTCTCAGCCTCTGATGGAAATGCGTCCACTGCTCTTCCAGGCACCCTTTGGGCTGGAAAGTTAACTCAGCAAAGAGGTCACAGGTCAAACAGTGTGTGTACCTGCAGATTCCTGATTATGCCTGGTGCACTATCCTCCTGCTCCCAGCCTGTCAGGAAGAGTGGCCCGAGAGGGACAGGGCTGATAAAGGACACCTGCCAGGCCAGGCGGGTGGCCTCAGAGGAGCTGCTTCTCGGCAGGCTGACGAGAAGCATCTGCACAGGCGCAGGGAGGCAGGCGAGCAGGAGGGCTGCCTCTTGTCAGGGCAGAAACAGCAGAGTTGCACAGACAGGATCTTCTTCTCTTGGGAGGGGTTCATCCCTTTGTGGAATTTTAACTACTGTTAAATTATTTTCTAGGGTTGGCACCTAAGGGGCTTTCTATATTTGGTCTGACTAGGTCAATTTGGAAGGACAACGATTCTCTCACAATGGCCCTTAATCTCCACACCCCACCTGGTCTGGGCCTCAGTCTGCGCCTGCAGATACTTTTCTATGTACCTTGTTAATGATTATGTTAATCATCTCTACCCCCACCTCCAGCTTCTGGCCTGGTGTGAGCCAATTTCTGGTCTCTTAATGCCTCCTTCCCAAACTTTCTACTCAGCCTCCATCACTTGTACCAAATTCTCATTAATCGTCAGCCCTCACTAACTGAACTATGACCCAGGCCTAGGATGACCGGCATGGACGCCTCAACATGCACACACTGGAGCTTCTGCTGTGCCCCCCACAAGCTCTCAGTCCGTCCTTACAATGCTCAGTCCTGGAGTTAGGCTCCCTGCACACAAAAACTGGTGGCACAGGGGTTAAGTCTCAGCTCTATCAAGCTATCTGCAGCCACTGCAGCAGGAGTTCAATCCCTGGCTAGGAACCACCCACATGGTGCAGCAGACCTCTCCTGTCACCCGGATGCTCCCCTCAACAGTGCATTTCAGTCCATCTGCCTATTCTGCTCCCCACTCTGTCTCTGGTGAATCCTCTCACTCTTGCACCCCAGATATTATATGTGTAAATAAATAATAATTAAATCTTTAAAAAAAAAAAACCTGGATGTAGCAAATTAAAAGTAGGGTAAATGAAAAGCAGTAAAATATGGCCTTGGGGGGAAACTGACAAGAAGAATTGATAATAGAAAGAGGAGCTTTATTATTTCCGCAGTTAGTTGTATAAGTCTTGTCCACACCTCAAAAACCATAATTTAAATCCTAGAGAAGTGGTTCTTAACCCTGACTGCCCCTGGGGATCACTGAGTGGTCGCATTAGCATCGCCCTCAGAAAAACAAAGCAAAACAAAGTTCCACCCTAGCCTCAGTCTCAGAGATTGTGGCCTAATTTTGACCAGGGGTGAGGTTCAGGCTCAGGGGATCACACAAGCTTCCAGCTGATTCTAGTAAGAGGCCAATTGTAATCCAGTAGGAGTGGATTGTATTTGGAGCCATTCATTGTAAAGTGGCCCAGAGGCTTGGATACTAAGTAACTCTAAATGTGTTCTCTGCAGCTCACAGGCTTATGAAGCATGTTAGGACAGACAAGGACCCAGAGCTCCAGGACAGAAACACCCATCTGACTCTTGTGTCATGTAAGAGAAATCCAGTAGAGCCAGGTAGATACCCACCCCCTCTCTCTCCTGAACCTCCCCCTGCGGAGCAAGGCTTAACATACCTGCGATTCACTTGGGGATCTTGTTACACTGTAGTTTCCCTCTCAACTAGGCAATTTATAGGTGGATCAGCGATTGTTGGGTGCACTGGGCGCAGGCAGCATGGAGCTCAAGGGGCACAGAACTTGGTACCTGGCTACCCAAGAGTGGCACTTAGACTGTGCTGGCAAAGTTCACAGATATCTGTGCCCTAATCAAAACTGGATCCAAGACAGGACATGAAAACATCAGCCAAGGATACTATAAAAAACAAGTCAACATAACTGCTTTGTGTTACTTTCTACATGAGCTATCTCCCTTCTTATCCTCAGGGAGCTTGCAGACTAATAGAGTCAGAAAGCAATAACAACTCACAAGCTACACTGACCAGCCTTAGGTCCCAACGTGGGGCAGATGCCAGGCAGAAGAGGGTCCCGGTCCCTGGGACCACACAGGAGGCATCATCCTCCCTCTTGTGAAACTTCCATAGAAGGCTCCACAGAGGCTGCCCTGTGAACTCCCCGGTCAGCTTTATTTCATGTTTTGGAATGCTTTCCCAAATGGTTTTCTAAATCCAACACAAGAATGACAGATAGTCTTGCTCAATATTAAGAAGCCCTCATGTGAAACTGACTACATTGTTCTTTTAATGGAGGGAAGGAATTATATTCGCAGAACATTCAAAAGCGTATCCAGGCAAATGGGTCTGATTCTGGCTCTAATATTTGTTCTTCGGTGGCCTCTTAGGAAACCCTCTGAGTGTTAATAAAATTGAACGGCCTAGTAATAGTCTGGATTCTGGAGCCACCAATGTGGTTGGGCCAGCAGGCACACTGGCTCCTGGGTATCCCTTCTCTTGCCCCAAGTGGCCACCCCCGCTTTAATATGGAAGTGCGGTTTGTTATCACTTTGCCTCAAAGCTTAGAACTGGGCTATGACTTTCCAACAGACCCTATTACCAATTTCCCATACTATCTGCTTGCCAGTGCCTCTCTGTGTCCTAAATGAAGATCCAGCCACAGGGAAATCAGGTTAAAAACTACAAGTCTGAGTATTTAGTGGTTAATACCACTCGGAGCTGAGCTGAAAAGGCGGTTTGCTGGACTCCTGTGTCCTACTCCTTCCATCCCCAACTGTCTCTTGTTTTTTGTTCCTGGTAAACCCACATCTCTCTCTGTAGGCACCTCCAGGACCGGGGCTGGCTGCAGAGGCAGAGAAGCAGATACATACCTCTGCTGTCAAAAGATTGGGTTTTAAGTTTAGGTTCACGTTTGGGACATTTCGACGGATGTCCGATTATTTTCTTAGTGCCAAGTCAGAGACAGGAAGGAATTAAAGCTGGGGTGCCCAGCTGCTGCCGTGGTGAGGGTGAGGGGTGCCCTGAGCACCTGGCACACGCCTTCACTGTACTGTTCCCTTTAAGTGCCTTAATGGGTCTGTGTGATGCAAAATGAAGTGAAACTGTTTTCCTTCTTTGCTGTAGCTGGTTTGATCCTTTATCCCAGAGGCTTTTCAAATCCACTGATCGTGGGCTGCAGGGAGGTTTTCTTTTTAAGTATTCATTTTGAAGATGTCCCACTAATGAATTCAAAGCCCATGAAAGAAAAACCCATGTTTCTTCACCCACCGTTTCACAATAGCCATTAGGGGACCGCAGCTTCATCAAAGCCTGGAAAACCACGTTCTGGGAGTGGGAGAGGGAGGGGCCGCACTTCGCCAAGAAAGTTTTTCTGACACCCAACTCCCAGGCTGAAGGGGGAGCAGTGGACCTGGGGAGCCCAGGCCTGCGTCAGGCTCCCCAGAGTCTCCCCTGGTCCCAGACGCAGAGGCCCCAGCTCTGGGCTGCTGGCGTCAAGCCGAGTTCCGAGCCCGGGTTCAGAGCCCGGCCTGCGGCTTGACCAACCACACACGCAGCTGACCCGGACAGTGCGGTCCAGGCTGCAGGGCGCCAAAGCACGCAGGGGAGGCCAGCGCCTCTGGACAGAAAAGGAGGTTCAAGGACACAGACCGGGGAATGTCCCCAACAGTCAGGAGTGGGGGGCCGGAGCAGAAGGCGAGGCTGGCTGGCTGGCAGACGGAAGACCTTGCAGAAGCCCTGGGTCCGTGAGGCTGGGTCTGTGCCCCTTACTCTGCCAGGGCACCAGGGGCAGGTCTGGGCGGGGCTAGCGCCACTTCGGGACCCTTGGCTGGAGCCCCGCCCCTCCCTGCCTGGAGCCCCGCCCCACCCTGCCTGGAGCCCCGCCCCACCCTGCCTGGAGCCCCGCCCCTCCCTGACTGGAGCCCCGCCCCTCCCTGCCTGTAGCCCCGCCCCACCCTGCCTGGAGCCCCGCCCCTCCCTGACTGGAGCCCCGCCCCTCCCTGCCTGGAGCCCCGCCCCACCCTGCCTGGAGCCCCGCCCCACCCTGACTGGAGCCCCGCCCCTCCCTGCCTGGAGCCCCGCCCCTCCCTGCCTGGAGCCCCGCCCCACCCTGCCTGGAGCCCCGCCCCACCCTGCCTGGAGCCCCGCCCCTCCCTGACTGGAGCCCCGCCCCACCCCGCCTGGAACCCCACCCCGCCTGGGGCCCCGCCCCACCCCGCCTGGAGCCCCGCCCCACCCTGCTGGAGCCCCGCCCCACCTGGAGCCCCGCCCCTCTCTCGGGTCCCACCTCCCGAGGCCTTCCAGCCGCCCAGCAGCTTGGGGGCGCCCTATAAAGCGTCTGAATCCTGCACCCAGCCCACCAGCAAACGGCCTCAAGAGGCTCCGGCTTTTCTTCCCGGGCCCGCCCTGGGCGCGATGGGCGAGCTCCCTTTCAGTGTGCACGCGTCCTTGGACCCGGACCACCTGTGGATCTGGAACGCGGGCTTGTATGTGGACGAGTACCAGCGCACCTGGCTGCCCATAATCATCCAGGTACAGCCGCTGTACGGTCCTGCTGGGCGCAAGGGCGTGGGGTCACCCTCCCTAACTCAGCCCTGGGCGCCTGGGCCCCCCTGGTCGCAGCTGGGGGAGGGCAGCAGCCAGGGGACTCGGGAGGCCTGTTCTGCTCCTGGCGGCCATTGGAGCTCACAGGTGAAAGCACTTGGAGCGAGACTGTGAAGGATGCCCAGAAGCTCACCAGGCCAGGAAAGGAGGGAGGAGAAACACAAGGGCTGTGGCTCAAAGGATGGCCGGGGGGTGTATGCATTCGGCCTACAGTAAAATGGGACTTTTCTGGGCTTCTGGGTCCTAGTTCATAAAATAGACTAAATACCTCTAAAGTAAGTGAGTCATTCATACTGGTCGCCGATTTTCAGAAGCTCCTTGGGCGAACCCCAGCAATCTATTTTAAAAGGACCCTCAACAGGTTACGAGCAACCAGATTTAGAAACCATTGCCCTAGAGTTTAGGGTGTTTCATCCTTCTCAGTGCTGTGGAGGACCTCACTTCTTCCCAAGGTGATGTAGAACCCGGCATGACTCAGGCTGATGTCGGTGTGTTAACACCTGAGCTGCAGCTTAAGTTAACCTTAACTTTTTTTTTTTCAAGAAACATAACTTTCTTACACATGCTTTCCATTACAGCTTAGGTTTTCTCAAAGCAACTTAGGTGGAAGCTGCTAAAACTCCTCCCATAAACTAAAAAGGGAAATATGTAATCATAAAATTAAATCTATGTAATATGAGGACATTTATGTAATATAAGCAAACAGCAAGAAGTTATTGCATAACTATGTCCCCATTTTACAGATGAGGAAATCAAAGTATAAAGTGGTCAACTTGTCCAATGTACAGTTGTTGGTAGGTAACGGGTTGGGATCCAGGCTCTTAACCACCACCCAAACTTACATCTTTATTGGCATTAAAAATGTTGAAATCAAGTGAAATGTTTACTGTTTGGAAGTCAAGTACTTGAAAGAATATTTAAGTGAATATCTATTTCATCTCTGGTTGGGGCACCACTTCCTCAACCTGACACTAAAACCACAAAGCAGGATTTTTCACATATTCATTATAAATTCTGCACAAAATATAATCCCCTGGCAAGCCAAAGGAACCCATGCGCTCAACATGTAAAGAGATACTTAAACCAACAAGTAAAAGATGAATAATACAAACTAAAAATGGTTAAAGGTTATGGAAGATGATTTACTAACACAGCCAGAATGTGATTTCCACACACCTTCAGTCAGATCTGTTTTAACAGACTTCTAATTTATTTCATAGACAGAAAATTTTAAAAAACTGCTTCCACTTTGGAAACCATCTTGGGTGCTTCCTTTACATCCCAAGCATGGGCCTAGGCCATGGGGGTTTGCAGTGAACGTGGTCAAATCCCAGTGGTTGTGCCATTTTGCTGGGAAAGGACAATTGAGGGGGGTGGTAAGTTTGTGGACCTCAGCGGAGAGTGAGTGATGGGACGTGGGGTGGTGTCTGCAGGCAAGAGGCTTGGAACCTGGGCTTGCATTTGCCTGTCTGCTCCTGCCCAGCTTTTTGAACCTCCGTTTGAGGCTGACCACCTATGTATGTTCCAGAGTCAAACTTTGCTGAAATTTGTCTTTATATACATAGATTTGAGTGGAGACCTGTCTGGAAATCACACCCAGAAACGAGAAGTTGGTCAGGAAAAAAATGAGCCCTGTGTGACCCCATCTGGGTGTCTAGACCTCTGTGAGTCCTGGTGGCCCTGGCCCAGCCAGACCTTAGAGGAGTGTGCACGGCCAAGCCTGAGCTCCTGGGAACAGTGTCCCCAGCTCAGATGCTGGGTGGGTGGCAGGAGGACTTGTGGCTGGAGAAGTGTGGTCCCGGGCCCGAGGTGCACCCGATCTTCTTTTTCAGGCAGAGACTAACCTCCAAGTGCTCATGCGTCAGGTGGATGTGGCCCCCGGGGAGGCCATGCGCCCCAGCCAGCTGCCCCCCAGCCTGCTGCCTTTGATGTGGCAGCTCTACCCCGGGAGAAGGTACCGAGCCTCTGACTCCAGCTTCTGGCGCATCGTGTACCACATCGAGGCAAGTGTGTGCCGCCCCCAGGAACCAGTCGGGGCTCCAAGGGTGGCCCTGGCCCCTGCCTGGGGGTCTGGTCTCTCCAATATCTGTTCCCTCCACGTCTGCACCTGAAGGAGGAATTCACCACAGGTTTTCTTAAGGACTGGATTAGAAGGTAGAGCCAAATTATCAGACCACCCCCCCGCCAGGTCTCTAAAATTAAGAAGCCCACTCTGCCTCAGGGATCCTCTCTGGTGGGCAGTCATGGAGTGAAGGTGGGAGGTCTCCCCAGAGTACTGGAACCCCCCCAGCTGTTCCCAGCTGGTGGAAGCCCAGGGGCTGGAAGTAGGAGAGTTGTGGGGTCCCGGTCTCTAGCGCCCTTCTCTCCCGCAGTTTGGCGGCATAGAGGACTTGCTCCTTGAGCAGCTACCAGACCCGGATGTACAACCTGGTGAGCACCTCGAGGCCCACCCCCGTCTGTCCAGAGTGGCCAGGTCACAAGGAAGGACAACCCTTCTCCATGCAGATGGTGCTGACCCCACCCTGACCGTGCTGCCCATGAGGCCCCAGGACTAGGAGCTATGCTCTCTCCTTGGCCACCTCGGCAGTCAGTCATTTCTAGGCACCCCCCGGTGTCACACCCACATGTCCAGAGCCTCTGGGCTTGCTTGGTGCGTCAGTCGCCAAGGTGGAATTGCATGGTGAAGGTGAAAGCTAAGATTTCAAGCAAGTGCATTGGCTTGTCCAGCTCACAGTCACATTTCCAAGCCAGGTCATCCGCACCTCTGGGCACTGTTCACCCTGGCTCAGCTCTGGGGACCAGCACTGGCCACCAGGCTCCCCTGTCCAGACTCCCCTTTGCCCTCCATCCACCCCATCCTCTAATGGTCCTGCCCTGACTCTGTCCTCTTGTCCATCTCTGGTCTTCTTGTCCCAGGTCCAGCTGTCCTGTCTCCCCTGGTCTCCTGAGCCCCGAGTCCTGCCAGCCTGCAGTGGGGATGTTCATGCCATGTCCGTCTCATTCTCCAGTCCTGTGTTCTGTACTACCCACAACCCAGCCCCTGAGGGAACAGACGGGCAAAGGATGCACACCTTCCCGGGGCCTGCAGGACCCGCCCCTGCGGCCTCCCGGGCAGATGACTCTGGGCAGGACCTGGTGGCTAGCCCTTCCTCCTGCCTTCCTCCTGACTTCTCCACTGCCTGCTGGTCTTCATCCTCCCTCTCCCACTGTGCCTCGCAGAACTCATCACCAACTGCTCCCCATTCTGCTCGGTGAAGCTCCAGCTGTAGGCCTCGGGCCTCCTCACCTGCACTCTGGAACAGCTGTCTCCTGTGACACCGGCCTGCACCCAGCAGCAGCCCCGTGGCCCAGCAGGTGCAGGCACGGCTCGGAATAAACTGACAGCAGCCCGGGTCTCTGCTCAGGCTCAGAAGCCAGCGGGTCTGGTCCACAGCTGGGACCCAGAGGAGGCAGGCACACCAGCTCTGCGACGGGCCCCAGGAGCCCACCTGTGGAAGGACAGAGGTTGGATTCCCCCCCCCACCTTTTTAGGGGCCTCCGCACTGGGTGGTCTGAGATTGTATGTAGTGTGAACACTTTGTAATGTTAATTAAATGTGAAACAGTTCATCTGTGTGTTCGATCAGCTTATACCCTTGGCCTGGATGCTGGTGGAGAGAAGCAAGAACAGGTGGTCACATGTAGGAAATCTTGAAAGGGAAAGAAAACCCATGAATTTAGTGTAGCTCTTTATATTGGAGGTAAGAGTGGGTCCCCTTCCCATATAATCCAAGCACGTGAAGCCTCACTGCTCTGGGCAGCATCATTAGAGGTCCAGTATCTTCATTCTCAGAGGGTGTAACAAGTACAAGGCAGTTTTCACTCTTGTGCCCTTCAGTCTTTGCTCTACAGGTGAATCCAGCTCGTGCTCCCAGCACTCTCGGAGGCTGCTCTAAATGTTTGATTTCCTGAAGCTCATTGTTTAATAGATTACTCCAGAAGGGTAAGTTGATCCCGTTAACTTGCACCGTTTGTCTGGGCCTTGAAGGTCACTTTGGTTGGAAAAATTATTCTTGGCTTGCATTTCTTTCTTGAGCACCTGCACTATTATCCCATTCACCCCACTGAGTTTTAACTTCAAAGTGTTCTGCGAAGGTCTAACACCATATGAATGACTTGGTTATTTTACCTTATGCTAAAAAGATTTCTAAAATTTTTATAAACCGTGTCTTGATTTTCTAGTCATATGTCCCAGCCTCCCTCATGCCTCTTTAAATACACAGGTTCAAATCATTTTTGGTGCGTGTTGGGGAGGGTTGGGGGAGAGCTCTCTTTTCTGTTTTCCTTCTATTATGCTGCCCTCTTTTTCCTGGGGAGTGGGCTTCTGTTAAGTTTATTTGGTTCTGTGTGTTCTACTTTTTTTTTTTTACCTTTTTTTAACTTTTTTTTTTTTTTTAATTTATTTATACAAGCACTGGGTACAGAATTCACCAGAGCGGGAAACAGAACAGGCAGACTGACAAAGAAGTACACTGCTGAGGGGAGCAGTGGGCGGCAGGAGAGGTCTGCACGCCATGTGGGACCCTTGCCCTGCGGCCGGGGATTGAACCAGCGCTGCAGAGACTGCAGGCAGCTTCGCAGCCCAGCGCTCAACTGCTGCACCACCAGGGGAGGCCCTGGTTCTGTGTGTTCTAGATCCACCATTTCCTCTTGAATTCCCTTGACCTTTTTTTCCTACTGAGTTTTTTTTTTTTAAAGATTTATTTATTCATGCATGTAAGAGCCAGGGGACAGGACAGAAGTATAGGACTGAGAGGATTCACCAGAGACAGAGTGGGGAGCAGAACAGGTAGACTGAAATCCACTGCTGAAGGGAGCAGCGGGTGAGACAGGAGAGGTCTGCTGGGCCATGTGGGTTGCTCCCTGGCTGGGGATTGAACTTGTGCTGCAGTGACTGTGGATAGCTTCATAGTGCTGAGACTTTACCCGTTGGGCCACCAGGGAGGCCCCCTTACAGAGTTTTTATTTCTGCTTTCTATAGTATTTTTTCTACCCTAGCTGCTGGTGGAGAGCTTTGAGGGGGTTGGAAAGCAAGGGCCACTGTTACCATCTTGTCCTGACGCCCTGACACTAAGTTACCTTATTAGTGACCTGGTGTTTGGTTTACAGAACAACTTTATTTACCATGAGCAAATCCTTAGAGAGGGACTAATCCCAACTAACAGGTTAACTTGAACCAGCCTAGTGCAGTCAGTGTGGGGAGGGGGGTGGCCTCTGTGGCAAACACAGCTCACTAATTAAAGTGAAGATCTTCCCAAGAGAGTCATCTCACAAATAACCTTGTTATAAGGACCATTCGTTTGTGGGTGAAAAGTCAGTAGTTCTTGAAACTATTAAACAGAACATTTCACTAATACGGGGAGCTCTCTAGGCGTCTCAACCACACTGGATAAACCAACCTCGAAGCCCAGCCCAGGTACGTGGGTGAAGACTCAGATTGCCTGGGGTGGAGGCCCCCAGGGCAGGCATCCCAGGAACCTGGCTGGGGCGCTGCCTTGACCGTCCTGCCCCTCCACTGGCCTCCTTGGCCACAGATGCGCGGAGCTGTGTCCACTTCTGCACCTTTTGCTTGGATTATCCTGGGTTAAGTGTTTCCGTGTTGATCTGATTCCCTGACCTAGATGGCCTTGGATGGACATAGGGATCCCTCATCTTGAAGGGGCACACGCTGTTAGAGGAATGGCTGAAGAAAATTAAATGGTCAACTGCGTTCAGATCCCGGGCAACATGTGCAAAAGCCCATGAAGCTGGGGAGAGCCTAGAAACGCCCAGAGAGGACAAGCTGTCCCCCACCCCCACTTCCAGATGGCCATAATGCCCGGTGGAGAGCAAGAAGCAAAGTAGGGAAGGAAGACGCGGCCCCCACCTGCCAGGGCTGATGGAACGACCCCCAGAGCACAGTAAAAGGGGGGGTGGGGGTGACTTACAAACTCCTGCCTGGACCAATAAACCAACACTCCACAAGGGTCTGTTCAGCACAACCCAGAAAGGGGCAGAGCAAACAGCCCCTGTGCCCCACTTAAGCCAGGAGCTCCCCCCTTTCCTCGCAGTGGTTCTCCCTTGGGGTCTGCCCTCCTGGGACTTCTCCCGCCCCGGATGCTTTTATTCTGTCTCTAAAAAAACCTTGGCTTTTGCTTCTGCTACAGACTTGGCTTTGTAGTCTTTCATGGCCATAGACAAGGACCAAGGAACCCCCAAACCCAGAAACAATACATACTTAGCATAACTTATATGTGAATAAAACGCTGATCATAATTTAATAATCCCTGTTCTTTTCCCAGTGAAACCCGGGTGCTTTGGTGAAACCCGCTGAGCCCCGGGTGCCCTGTATGGAGGCCCAAAAGCCCCTCCTTTCGGACAAGATTTATTCTCGCTGGGCTGCCCCCTCTTGCCCCCCCCCCCATCACCCTTCGCTACCTCTCCCAAGATTTCAGTGGGGCTCACACTTCTCTCTGTCACCTGACTTGGAGTTCCAAGGTGTAGGGTAAATGGTTGTCAGGCTTTCCTGCCCTCCCGCCATTAGCGTTGATGATGGATGCCTGCGGTCCTGAATGCATGCCCGATGGCGGCACCTGGAGTGGGGTGTGGGCATATGTGGATGGGATTCACCTGGGCTGAGACTGGGCCTATAAGGGCGGCTTCACAAGGACACCAGAGGAACGGAACAGGACCAGAAGGAGAACTACAGAGAAGCAGAGACCACCAGAGGATGCCAGAGAGCCCAGAAAGTGTGAAGATTTCCTGGGGGCAGGGAGGCCTGGCAACGCCCCCCGCCCCCAACCTCCACGTGCTTTTTCTGGGCCCTGCCTAGGATTCTCACAGGAGTAGTCTCATGGCCTTACCTCTTCTGTAGTTACTCGTCCTCATAACCTTTGTCTCTGAGCGACACCACACTTGTATCCCTGCCTCCAGGCTCAGGTGTGCACACTTACGCATGCCCACACCCCTACGCCACATGTGCATAATCAGGCATGCGTGCCCGCACCCACACTCCCGAGCACCTTCTGCACCAATACAACCAAGGCCTCCGGTGATGCCCACGGAGACCCATGGCGTGAAAGGTCAAGGGAAGGGACTACATCTGGCCCAGGACTGAGGTGTTATTAAAATGATTCCTCTTTAGACATGAGGAAACGGGCTGAGAGCCGTTCTAGCCTTTGCTCGGAGCTGGCATTGCCAGTCAGCAGCAGCCCTGCATGGACTAGGGCAGCCCGCTGGAAGGTGCGGCCTCCCTCCCGGCACTGTCCCTGCACTGACTTGGAGAATGAGCCCCCATGTGGGTGGGATCCCCACCCTCCTGGTCCTCAGCCCCACAGTCACGTGTTCTGTCCTCAGAGCCTCAGTTTCTGTCCCCGAAGACCTGCCCCTCGAGGTGGCTTTGATTGTTAGATCAGCTTAGCAGGTACAAAGTGTCTGACAGTAGATTCAATCAACTCTGATCTTCCTCCTTTATGATATTATTTTCTATATTTAGTGGAAAGTCTCATTAACAACATTCCTAAGAGGGAAAAATCAGAAGCTTTCTAAGATTTTTCTACTTTGTGAAAGCAGAATAAAAAGCATTGAGGGACAAAACAAGGGCGGTGCCTTTTCCTTTATGCACAGCATTAACCAGGAGGGAAGAAATGTCGGTCTGCAGCTAAAGACAGACAGACCATTGCAAGAATAATTCAACCTGCTCTGTTTAAAAAGAAAACAAAACAAGGGCTTATTTGTGGGGCCCACCTTAAAACACAGAACATATAATCACAATTAATTAGGTCAATTTTGGCTCCAAGTCACAGCTGCCTTTATTCAGGATTTCTGTTTTCTTGGAGACTGTTCAATGGAGGGACAAGCACCCCAGACCCGTTTGCTTCAGGCAACCTAAGAATGAATTTGTGCAGTGTTACTAGCATGAAAGAAAGGGTAAACCTGAAATGTGAGTGCACTGTTAGTGTATAGCTGCAGGTTCCCCGCAACTTCCAAAAGTAGCATGTTCTTATGATTTGGGAGCTTGTTTTTGAAGTCTGGAAATGCCTAAATAGTTTTCCATGTAAATTAATAATAGGGTTTCCAGGCCCCCAAAATACCCCCCCCCAATCATACCAAGTAGGAATGTTCTTTTTCAGATAGTGGGGGAAACCTGTACTAAAGAAAGATCTCTATATGTCTTAAAGAATAAAACTTGTGTATCATGCGCTTTCACATTTCTGGATAATTTTTTAAATGACAGGTTTGGAAATACTATATCCTTAAATTCGTTCATCCCAGTTATTTGTATTTTTGCAAACATAGCTGCTTCAGTCCTGGGTAATTTGCCCACAGGTTGGCAATAGGAGGCTGAAGGCATGTGCTGTAGATGCAAGGATCCTGCCCAAGGCTGGGGTTTTAGTTCCAACTCCACACTTATAACTTGCACAGAAGAGTCAGGCCGCCGCTCTGCACCTTCGTCACCTCCCCAGCAAAGAAAGGGAGCTGGGCTGAAGAGTGATGACCGGGGACTTGCTAGTGTGACATGTGGTCACTGTAGAGTTTCTCCCCCCAACATTATAGAGAATTGTCCGAGATTTCCTGGGCA